AACTCTGTTTTCTCCCCCACAGATGCTGCCAGACCTGCTGAGCTTTTCCAGCAACTTTGTTTTTGTTCCTGATTTACAGCATCTGCAGTTCTTTTGGTTTTTATTCAGAAGTGCGAACGTTGACTAATGATTGCATGATGTTCAACACCATTCACAATTCATCAGCATGTCCATTTGTAGTAAAACCTGGACAACATCTAGGCTTGGGCTGACAAATAGCAAGTAACATTCATGCCATACAAGTGCCAAGCAATTACCATCTTCAATAATGTGGAATTCAACCATTGCCGCTTGACATTGAATGGCATTACCGTCACTGATACCACCAGTATCTACATCTTGGAGTTATCGTTGACCAGGAACTGAATTGGACCTGTCATACAAATACTGTGGCTACAAGAGCAGTTCAGAGGCCAGGAATCCAAGTAACTCACCCCTTGATCCCAAATGTCTGTCCACCATCCACAAGACATAGCAGAAATTTAATAGCATACTCTCCATTGGCCTTGATGAATGCAGATGTAACACCCACTTAAAAACTCAACACCATCCTCCACAAATCAGTATGTTTGTTTGATACCTTGTCTAACAACTTCAATGTTCACTCCCTCCATCACCACTACTCCGTGGAAGACTACAAGATGTGTCTATAATACTTTACTAAGACTTCTTTGGCATAACTTTCCAAATTTGTAACTCCTACCGCCTAGAAGGTCAAAAGCAGCAGATACATGAGAACACCAGCACTTCTATGTTCTGTTCCAAACCACACACTATATCATTGTTGCTGGGTCAAAATCCTGGAACTCCCTCATTAACAATAGAGATTTACCTAGACAACAGAGACTGCAGCATTTCAAGAGGGCAGCTAATCACCACCTTCTCCAGAACAGTTATAACAAGCAATAAATGCTAGCTTACCCACCTCCCATGAACTAACATTTCTTTAAAAGGTACGATCACAATTTTCAGCTTTTATCAACCAGCTGGCTTCACAGAGATGCTGAATTTCACTAAATTCTGACCTTTCTCAGCTGCTTCAAGCAAATACTGTTGGTGGTCATTCTTCACCACTCAGCTACATTGAACTACCAGTGATTCATAGGGCTTCTTTTTTCAGCCCAACTTGTTCCCATGCCATGGAGCCATCATGCCCTGATATTTTTCCTGAGCCCAAACTGCCCTGGAGTCAGCTGACAGCCTGGACCCACTTCTTCTGTGTCAGCACTCCCCCAGCTCCAAACTGCAATTAACTTCTCCCAATAATAACACATCTAGATAAATTTCAACCAAAGAACTTCTTGAACTCTGCCAGTCTCCAAGCTGTGCTTAAACCTGACCTTTAGGGTTTATTGAATGTTTTTAAGGTAATTTTGCTCTAACTCTGTGTGGACTGCCATTAGTGCAAGCTTTACTATGCCATTTTAGTAGGCCCACCTGATGTTTTAATAGCTCCAGCTTTCAACTTTTGGTTTTATTAAACAAATATGTGTAAACTTCTGAACCTGATATTTGTTTTAGGTGTTCTGGCAATCACTAAAGCCCAGCATTTTAATTACCTTGCCTTTATCGTTGTTAACTTCTTACAGTAACATAACCCCAAACTCTTAAGTGCTGTAGACTTCAAGGTTCTTCATTTTCATTTATTCATTTTCTCCTATTAACATTAATTCTTATAATGGAAAAAGAATTTCTCAAACATATGAACCATGAACTGGATGTTTGCAGCAGTACTGTGGGAGCTGTGTTCATTCAAAAGTGTTGATTATTTCATCACAACCCTTACTGTACTGTGTAGAGAATGGGCAGTCATCAGGGAGTTAGCAGAGATGTTACTCACTGCACAGTTTTCCAGCCTTGAATCTGCTCTGTAGCCACAGTATTTATGTAGCTGGTCCAGTAATAGTGAACCCCAGGTTGAAGATAGTGGGAGATTCAAGTGATGCAATGCTATTGAACATCAAGGGACCTTTACAGAGAGACCCAGGCTAATGGTGTAGTGATATCCATTCAAAACCCACAACTACTACTGGTGGAATTTAAACTAAATAATTAATAAAAGTAGAATAAGAAACTAGTAACACTAATTATGAGCACAAAACTACCAGACTGTCTGGCCAACATTTGAGTCCCAACTCTCAAAAGCATGAAATGGGTTGGTAAGCCACTTAGTTATCATCATCATCATAGAATCCCTGCAGTGTGGAAACAGGCCATTCAGCCCAACAAGTCCACACTCACACCCCCATCCCTGTAACCCTGCATTTCCAATGGCTAATCCACCTAACCTACACATCCCTGGACACTATGGGCAATTTAGCATGGCTAATTCACCTAGCCTACACATGTTTGGACTGTGGGAGAAAACTGGAGCAAACCCGTGCAGACATGGGGAGAACGTGCAAACTCTGCACAGACAGTCACCCAAGGCTGGAATTGAACCCAGATCCCTAGTGCTGTGAGGCAACAGTGCTAACCACTGAGCCACCATGCCACCCTAGTTATAGACCCTCCTGTCACCGAAAGCTGTTGTTCTTTATTTACTGCATCAAAATCCTTTGCAATTTCATAAGGAGTACAAGAATAGGGTGGTCATTTGATAGGTAACCTCTCTGTCACCTCCAGGCTCTCTCGCTGTGACAGATTTCCTTATCAATGGTCATTGTTGCCCTTGAGGCCTTGTTTTGTTGCTAACTGATGGATATTTTCCTTCTCTCTTGCAGGTGGAAGAGAAAGGCAGGGGAGAAGGTGATTCATAAACTATCCGGTAAACCCATCCTGCAGTTTGTCACAATAAAACGGAAGGATAATGGAGAATGGGCAATTCCTGGGGTGAGAGCAGATGAGCACTTACATTAGATCTTTAAGTATTCAATCTATTCAATCCCTCCTGCTCTAACCAGTTAGCCAGCTAACCGTATCTCTTTAAGGTCCAGGTTGTTTTGTTCCGCAGTAGTTTTATTTATTCCTAGGATGTTAGTGCACCAGCTGAGCCAGTGTTTATTGGCCATTCCTAATTGCCCTCAAGAAAATCATGATGGGTTGCCTTTAAATGGTGCAGTCCATATGGTTAAGGTACAAGCACACACAAGCTGTTGGGGAGAGAGTTTCAGAATCCAACACCAGCAACTGTTAAAGAGTGATGATGTAGTTCCAAGTCAAGATGGTGAGGGGCTTGGAGTGGAACTTGCAGTTGATGGTATTCCCATGTAGCTGCTGCCGTTTCCTTCTAGAGGTCATGGGTTTGGAAGGTGAGGTCTAAATAGCCTTGGTGAGTTATTACAATACATCTCATAGGTGGTGTGTACTGCTGCCATTATATGTCAACGGTGGAGGGAGCAAATGTTGAACATACTGTGTGCTAAGCAAGTTAGGTGGCTTGGTGGCTCAGTGGTTAGCACTGCTGCCTCACAGTACCAGGGACCTGGGTTTGATTCCAGCCTCAGGCAAATGTCTGTGTGGCGTTTGCACATTCTCCCCACGTCTGTGTGGGTTTCCACCGGGTGTTCCACAGTCCAAAGACGTGCAGGTTAGGTGAATTGGCCATGGGGAATCTGAGGTAACAAGGTGTAGAGCTGGATGAACACAGCGGGCTAAGCAGCATCAGAGGAGCAGGAAAGCTGACGTTTCGGGTACTATCTCTGGCCATGGGGAATGCAGGATCACAGGGAAAGGGTAGGGAACAGGTCTGGACTCAATGTGCTGAATGGCCTGATTCCACACTGTAAGGATTCTATGAAGTGAGCTGCTTTATCCTGAATGGTCTCAACCTTCTTGACTGTCATTTAGTTATACTCAACCAGATAAGTGGAGTATATTCAATTGCACTCCTGACTTGTATATTGTAGATGGTGCACAGGCTTTTGAGGAATCAACAGGCGAGTTACTCATTGCAAGATTCCCGGCCTCCGACCTGCTCTTGTAGCCGCTGTACATATACGATTAGTCCAGTATAGTTTCTGGTCAGTGGTGGACCCCAAGATATTGATTGTGGGGGAGTTCAACAAAGTTAATATCATTAAATATCATTGGGGTGGGGAAATAGTTTGATTATCTCTTGCTGAAATGGTCATTGGCATGAATGTTATTTGCCAGTTATCAGCCCAAGCCTGAATTTTGTCCTGGACTAGCTGTATTTGGACACAGGCTGCTTTAGTGTTTGAGGAGTAGAGAGTGGTGCTGATCATTGTGCAATCGTTTGCAAACATTCCTATCTCTGACCTTAGAATGGGGTAAAGTTATTGATGAAGCAGCTGAAAATGGTTGGACTGAGGAGACTACCCTAAGGAGCTCCTGCAGTGATTGTCTGCAGCTCAAATGATCGAACGACCACAACCATTTTTTGTTGTGCTAGGGCTGACTCCAACCAGCAGAGTTTTCTCCCTGATTCATTTTGCCTCTAGTTTTGCCTGAGCTCCTTGATGCCACACTCAGTTAAATATTGCCTTGATGTCAATAGCAGCTAGCCTCAATTACTTTCTGAAGTTCAACTCTTTTTTTTGTCCATGTTTTGACCAAGCCGGTAATGAGATCAAGGGCTGAGTGGCCCTATGGATGACTGGATGTTGATCGAGGTACAGCTACTGTTCACGATAACTCCCCTGCTCTTCTTCAAGAGTATGCCATAGGATATTTTTGCACCCACTTGAACAGACAGATGAGATCTCAGTTTAATATCTCAGCCAAATGCCTGCACCTTCAACAGGGTTGTGCTCCATCAGTTCTGCAATGGCAAAAGGATTGTGAAGCTCTTTCCTCTGTTCCTGCTTTAATAGTCTCTCCCTCTCTTGGTAGGGAATGGTGGATGATGGAGAGCTTGTGTCAGCAACCCTGAAACGTGAGTTTGGGGAAGAAGCTCTTGATTCTTTGGCTGCCTCCACCTCTGAGAAGAATCGCTTGAGGAAACTGTTCCAGAGAATTTTCAGTAAAGAGAATTCTAAGGAAGTGAGTAAGCAGAGAAAATCTTAAGTCTCTTTTCCAGCTCTCTCACTCTGGAAGTAGAGTTGGGGTGGGACTCCTGTTAATGCTAGGAAAGGGGTGGACACCAGTTACACGTGAACAGTTGCCGGGAAACTTGGACAGATCTAATTCCGTGCAGCCTCCTCACTAGTTATTTTCCTAACTTTCCCATCCAGGTGTTTACAGGATACGTGGATGATCCTCGGAACACCGACAATGCCTGGGTGGAAACGGTGGCAGTAAATTTTCACGATGAGACAGGTACATGAGAAAAGGAGAAGTTGGAGGAGTGGGGAGGGATGAGAAGATAGAGGAGGGGGGAAGACAAGGGGAGAAGTTGGATACTGAAGAGCGGGAAAGGGAGGAGAGATGAGAAAAGGAAGAGAACCAGATTTCTCTCTCACATTTCCAACATTCCAAGAGTGATAACACTCCAAAAGTACGTCATTGGCTGTAAAAGGCTTGAACTGATGAAGGCACTAAAGATATACAAGTTTTTCTTTTATAATGAGAAGGATTACTTTAATAAGTCTGTTAGTAATATTCTCTCTCTCTTTCCAGGGGACAGTGTGGGACAACTGGATCTGCATTCAGGTGATGATGCTGGCCATGTCCAGTGGTCTGACATTGACCAAAGCCTCCAGCTCTACGCCACACACTCTCACTTCCTGAAGAGTGTAACTGAGCTGAGGGATGCCCACTGGTAGTGAAGAACAGCGATCAATATGGTCCAAGAGACATTAGCTCAATGTGAAGTGTACAAAGAATTAAGAAAATGGAAGAGGGTAGGGGTGGGTCAGGGAAGAGGGTTGTGGGGTGACAGGGTGTGGAATGGAGTTAGTGCTTAATTATGTGTGCTCAACACAACGTTGTCCAATTAGAGATTTTTGGTCAGAGAGCACAAGCTTGGATACTTGAACCTGACAGGGTCAAGTTCCTATCTAATGTGATCAGGGGCACTCAGTGCTAGTACACATCCTGGTACAATGATGGCCTAGACTGGCCATTAGCACTTGCTTTATTGGACTCATTAAGAGTTACATATATCGGATGTTGCTAATCCCTAACTGAATACTTCCTTAAGGTTCCTCTCAAACCTTTAAGGTAAATTGCACATTCTGAGTCAGATTCTGTGTTACTAGATTGGAGTATCGATCGTTCATAAAGAATGACCCTAAGATGTTGTCCACTCTACTCCTTCATCCTTTGCATTCTGTCTCTCTCTTTCCTCTGTCACTTGTCCCTGTCCTCTACCATTATCTCCCAATCATCCTTGTTTTTCACCCTCCCTTTTTCCATTTATTACTAATCATGTTTTGAGGAAAATTGTAAAGAAGTTCTCAAACAATTCATTTAATTGTCAAAGAATAAAAGAAGTCAGTTTCTGACCCACTATTAAAAGCAAATGTTGAACAGTGAAAGCACAAAACCATCTATTAAAGTATCCTCTGTGTACTCAGACTGCTGTGATTTGATTCCACATACTTCCTAACTTTAAGTTAAAGAGAAATTTAACGTTCTTTCCAACAATCTATCAAATCAGTATCTGAAGGCTTTGAGTACCATTCCATGAATTTGGCACAAAAGCTAGTGCTGATAGAGTCCTGCTGTTAGTGTTATTTTTCACGAGACGTTAAACAGAGGCCCTGTCGGTCCTCGGGCAGATTTGAAAGATCCTACAGCCTAGTATCCTGGCTAGTTTTTTTGTAAAGATCATGTTTAATAGATTTTGCTATATGCATATTTGTGGCTGTCCTTCTAATAATCCAAGAGTGACTAAATATCATGAAGTATTTCATTGGATGTAATACATATTTGGGATGTCTTGAGTTTGTGAAAGTGCTTGATAAGTGCAAGTTCTTTCTTACTTCTGATTGTAGTTTTTTTTTTCTCTATAACTCATAATTCAAGTGGTGGACTGGCAAGAAGGATCTTACATTAAAAATATCCTACAGGTTCCTTTCAGAATACAATTGTGTACCATCAGGAACAATTAACCGTGCTGGTCAAATGCAAAACCATTCTATAGCTGGCAACATTAGTATTTGGCCTCTTATTCATTTGAGAAATGTGGGAAGAGAGCAGACTGCAGTGTAGGATACACGAAAGCGCTGAGAAAACTGAGGCAAAAGGAAATTGTTTGATGTCGCCATCCAGTTCCACCACCTGCTTTCAGTGAGCTGAACCTAGGCACCAATACTATGAGAACACCAATAGACTATATCTATCAATATTCATTCATCCTTTGAGTTAATGTGCTGTAACAACCTCCCTAATTGATATGTTCATAACGTGGACAATCTTCATTCAAGAATAACTGGCAATGCCTCCTTAGGACAACCAGGCGTGGGCACTGATCACCAGCTTTGGTAGCAATACATGTATGCTGATGACAACTTAAAAGTTGGATATTAAAACTTGTAATAGAAAGTGGAAGGGAACAGTGAGTGAGATGAAGATTCTGCTATTTTCAGGTCCCTGATAAAAGTTGAAATCAACCAGGGAGTTTGGGGGGAGTCTTGATTTTAACGGTGTTAGGAAGCAGACTGGGTAATAAAATTAGCATTACACCACTTACATGTCCAAAATCCTGCACAGTTTCAAACTCCAGTCTGGATTTATAGAAGTCCACACACAATGACAAAACACCAAATTTGAAGATTTATTATGGATACTTCAGTCTGTTGTAGAATCATACAGGACAAAGAGGCCATCTAGCCTATCATGACTGTTCTTGCTCCTAACATAAGAATTAGGGGAAAACAGTAAGTAACTCCATCCTGCTGTAGTATTTGACTGATCAGACTGTGGCCCCCATTTTCCTCTATGCACTATTTCCTTTGACTTCCTTCTCAGGCATGAATCTATCAAATTCAGCTTTTAGAATATTCAATTACCCTATCTCCACTGCTCTCTCAGGAAGATAATTTCACAAACTAATAACCTTCAAAGCAAAAAAAAATTTCATGTTTTTATAAAATGGAAGAACTGTGTATTGAATAGTTCCAGACTCCTCATAGGGGAAGCAACCTTTCAGCGTTCACCCAGTCAAGTCTCCCCAGCCCACGAAAAGACCTCATATGATTTAATAAGATCACCTTTCATTCTTCTATGTCCTTCACTGCAATGAATATAGATGCAATCTATCCAACCGACAATCCCTTTATCACAGGAATCAATTAAGTGAACCTTCTCTGTACTGCTTCCAATGCAATGATATCTTTTAAATATGGAGGCTAAAACTATACATTTTGCTACAGTTGTAGAGGGTTTTGGTGAGACTACATCTGGAGTACAGTGTCCCTATTTTTGTATTTAATACTCCTTACAATAAATGATAACATTCAATTTACTTTCTTAATCATTTGTTGTACCTTTATATTAACTTTGATTCAATTACCAGAACACTCAGATCCTTCTGTACCAGAGTTCAGCAGACTCTCCCATTTAAATAATACAATAATTTCCTCATCAAGTTAAAGTGGACAAGTTCACATATTCCCACATTGTGATCCCTTTGCCAATTTTGTGCCCTCTTACTTGATCTACCTATATCAATTTGCATTCTTCTTAGATCTTCACAACTTACTCTCCTGTCTTTTGGTCATCAGCAAATTCCTTAACCATACATTTGGTGCCATCATTCAAGTCATTGATATCAACTGTAAACAGCTGGATTCCTATGGCAGTCTACCCGTTACATCCGAAAATGAACTATTTATCCCTATTTTGTTTCCTGTTAGTTACTAAGCCTTTATCTGTGCTAATATATTAGCCCGGTATACCATGAGCTCTTACTTTGTGTGCAACTTTCAATGTGGTATCAAATGCCTTCTGGAAATCCAAGTTGTTTATATCTACAGGTCTACATCTCTTTGAAAGAGCTACAATTCCCATTCTCCTTTTTCCCTTGTCCTTTCAACATAGCCCTGCACATTTTCTTCCTTCAAATAGTTACCCAACTCCCTTTGGAAAACTTTGAAACTGTTTCCATCACTCTTTCAGTAATGCATTCCAGAGCACAACACCGTTACACTTCATCTTGTATAGTTCCATTGAGTTCACAGGGGGAAAAAAAAGGAACCAAAATCGAAATGATGTAGTGTATCCACTTCAAACGTTTATTTCATTTTTTAAAACAAAACAATAGAGATCTTTCCCTATTTGATGCAGTGTTTACACGAGTTATGTTTTAGCAAGCGAGCACAAGGACAGAGATTGAACTGATTAGCTGTAGATCAGTAGAACTGCTGTAAAATTATACATTGTCACAGCTTTACAACATGCGCTCATCAGGACTGATGCAAGAATACCAAATTTCAAATGGTACAGCAATTTATATTGCCTGCTAAACGGTCACTGATTGGTTGGCAAGACATCTGATTGTTTGAGGCATTGCCATGGAGATGCACAAGGGAGTTCTGTTGCCCACATAAGTGTTTCATTCAATAAATGTGTAATGCCTGGAAAAATTCCTTCTCTAGCAGAGGACAGGCCTCTGCTTATGAATATATAAAAATTCAGTTGAGTCAAAGTGAGCTACATTATGAGCCTGACTGATGATAAATTGGTAATGCAATTCTTAGCACATTAAGATTCAATAAATGTTGTCCACTCGTGGAATCACATCCGACCTTAGACATCATGTTCTGAGATTTGCAACCATGGGCTGGCCGAGTACAGTTAGTACTCTACCTGTTGCAAAAAGCCAAACAAACATTTCATACCACCCACCAACAATGAAATTCAAATCCCACATTGCTCACTTGTGTTCTGGGTAGAGAATGTCTTTTTGGTTTGATGGCAGCAAGTTGGTAATCAAAAAAAGCAATTACGTAGCTACTGCATAGAAACAGTGTGAAACAGTAGCCAATATTTCATCAAATAGCTTTGATGTGCCCTATTTTAGTGTCAAGCTTGCGCATTGAGCAGATGGCTGAGACCCCATTTACAAGGCCCTATTTACTATTTGCTGCTAAGACTGATCTTATGGCCTTATCTGAGCTTGCGATATAGTTCGCTTACACTTGGTGAAAGCTACATGCAGCCTTCTGCAGCATCTTACAAATCTGTGGACCTCTACAACCTAGAAGGACAATGGTAGCAGAGCCTGAGAACACCACCACCAAGTTTTCTTCCAAGTTATTTACCATCCTGACATGGAGCTATAATTGCTGTTCCTTCATAATTACTGGGTCAAAACTCTGGAATTCTGGAACTTCCTCCCTGACAGAAAGGTGTGTGTACCTACACCCCAAGTACTTGCAGCAATTCAAGAAGGAGGCTCACCACCACCTTCTCAAGTGCAATTAGAAATAAGCAATAAATGAAATAGCCACATCTATGAATAAATAAAAAGTAAAAAATAAATTCATCACACAGTGTGCTTTTCTGAACAAAATCATTGGGAACAATGACCATTCATGCATTCTTTATGACAACACCTCAGCTAATCAAATCTGACCAATCAGTACCCTTTTTCATGCAATGTAAATTGTTGCTCCTTTTGAAATTTGACTTCCTTCCATATGTCCCGATGAATGGAAGACAAAGGGTTTTCATTTATTCTCATTTACACTATAGGCTGCCTAGAGGCCTCATTTTACACATCAACACCAGAATCACCTCAATATCAACTTCGATAAGCAGCACAGAGTTAAATCAAACATAATTTGATGGGGAAAGGGCAATAAGGAGGTAAAGCTAAATAAGGGATCAAAGAAAAGAACCGGAATCTGAAGTAAAAACCACAGATTCTGGAAAGACATCAGAGACCAGACAACATGAGTAAAAATTAAAAGTAGATTTTCAAAACTTACTGGCTGTAGGATGTCCTTATTTGATTAAAGACACTACCTGAAATCTAATTTGTTTAGGAGTATGTTTACATAGAATGGGCCTCTTTAAAGAAAGGTGCATACCTAAAAGGCCACATTTGTTTTCTGTTGTCAGCTGTCAATTGGCCTGCTGTATATTTCCAGGAGGTTCTGTATTGCTTCATACAGGAGGCAAGCACAGGCCTGGTCTGCCTAGCAGGATGCATTCTCAATTTGAAGTTTTCTCCAAGATGTTATGACCATGAGATGTGGAACTCTTTCTCAAGGGGGACTTGGAGATTAACAACCGTCAGAACCTGCAAGGAAATATGCACCACAAAATATTCATTCAAAAACTGTGGTCTTTCATGCATCATTTAATCAATAAACTTTCCATTATTCCAAAGAATGACGAATACAAGGTCAGTAAGTGAACACTGTACCAACAACAGTCAACAAAAGTGCCGAATATGGATGAAGTGTCCCAAAATACCTCACAGCAACCTTAACTGACTAACATTGACAAGGATCCAAAGCAGGAGCCATTAGAACAGGGGTCCAAAGACCCAGCCACATAAGTTTTATAAAGCAGTTTAAAAGGGGGAGGGGGAGGGGGAGGGAGAGACAGATAGGCAATTCCAGAGCTGGACCTAGACATAGACATGAAAGGAATGGACATCAATGGTGGGGAAAATGGAAGGGACAAGACACAGGAGGCTAGGGTTGGAAGTGTGCAGACTGTTGAAGGGTTATGGAAGGGTACAGGGTGACTGAGATGAAGAGGTCCCAAAGAAAAGGGTGGCGACAGGAAAAGTGGGGCTGTCGGAAGACATGTAACAGAGGCGAGAGATCGATATTGGTGGAGGACAAAACATCAAGGAAGGGGACAATAGAGGTGGAGGTGACACAGATACAGAGGCAACAAACCTTCAAAAAAATGAGAAGTGATGTAAAGGAATGATTGATGGTGAAATTCTGGCATTCAGGCCTCACCTGGTTCGAAGAATAGGAAAAGGAAGCTGGCCGCTGATTTACGATTACCTTCGATGGTCGAAACGTGACCCCATAGACACTTAAGGTGTTCACTTTGATGTAAGTAGCCTCAATGTTCACATGTACCACTTTGGAGATCAGTTGGTTCTACAGTGTTAACACACAATGTAGCAAGAAGAATTCAATAAAAGAAAACAGCACTCAGGAGATCGTCAGGTTAAACAGTAAGGCCATGTAATCTTAGACAACTCGGGGTCACCATGTCAATCCAGTAAAAAGGACACCTGAGCAATCATATCATTGTATGTTAAAACATACAGTCCCTAAACAAACCCATAGGACACAACACTGAGTGAGCAAAACAGCTCTCTCTTTTTGTAGAATCACAGAAATGTTACTGCGCAGAAAGAGATCATCTAAACCATCATGTATGTGCAATGTACCATGTATCATCTAGACTATCATGTATATCTCCAAACTGAGCATCTCATCTAGTGCCATTCTCCTGCCTTCTGCTTGTAACCTCGAACAAGACAATATTCCAGCTGAGGCTGAACTAGTGCATTGTATATGTTCACCATAACCACCCTGCTCTTGTATTCTACGTTCCTATTATTAAAGCCTAGGGTTCTGTAATGTCCTGCCTATTTTTATGACTTATGCACATATAAACCCAGGTCCCTTTACTCCTGCATCCGCTTCAGAGTTCTGAGGAAGGGTCACCAGACCCAAACGTTATTTTGCTTTGTTTGGTCTGTGCTCTTCCTACCAAAATGTATCAGACTTCTTGTGTGCTTTAAAACACTTGAATGCCTTTAAAAGCTTTTCCCTGATGGTGATTTTCCTAGCTCATAGAACAGTTACCCGGTGATTTCCAGAAATTGGAGACAAATCTCTAGGATACCACTGTGAGAAAACAACAGGAGAAAAGTCAGAGGGCCAATAAAAAAAGTTTCTTTATTCACCTTACAAACTTTAGTTTATTGGTTGTATAAATATCAGAAATGGGGAAAGCAGACTGTTTATCTGACATGATGAAATAGGGTAGTGGAAGAGTCTGTTCTCTTCCCATTTGACTACGAGAAGGGCAGGAGTAGGGGAGAGTGACGTCAGATGGAGGATAGTGAGGGTGGGATAGTTTGGCGATAATATGATGACATCTTAAGGAATACATCCAACTAGAGTTGACAACTCTTAAATTGTTACACCACTGAACAAAATGCAGTTCTTACCCATGGCCCACCAGTAGAGATGTCCAATGGGGTTTTGAAGAGTGATTAGGAGTGGGATTAGGCTCACAGCCTGGGACTTCCCTCTTCAGTGTGGCTTGATCATGCTCACACTCACCATGAATAGACACTGATGCGAAGCCCTCCAGAGTTGACTAGATGCTGTAAGATCCAAATTAGTCTTGGACCACAGGTTAGGGTGGGCACTTGGCTGCTGTACAGGTGGGGAAGCTGGTGCTTGTGCGGTATGTTGTATAATGAGGGTGAATATTCCAACATTAATAATGTACAAGGTGATGTAATACTGACATGAACATGCTATTGAGAATTTGAGGATTGGAGTGGGGTGTAAGACGTAGATGAAGTAACCAGTCTAAAATAAATTTAAAATATCAATTAGCATTGTGTAAAACATCAGCCAATGCCTGAATTAGGGAATTTTGGGCTCAGGATCATACCTTCTCCACAGCAAATTCAATGTAAGTGTAAGCGTTTCTCTCGTAGGTATCCAGGCTCTCCCCATCGTCCCAAAATAGGCAGCCCTTTGCTGATGCATTCTGGGATAGGGCCACCAACAGGTGAAGAGGGTTCCCACTACTCACCCAGATGGTTGTGGCAGGTTCCTGTTCAGAAACAGAGACAGAGCATCAACACGGGGATGGAGAAAGCATTATTGGGTAGGAGTGTCGAGATATGGAGTTGGAGTACAAAATCAGCCATGACCTAATGGAATAGCAGAGAAAATTTGAGCAGCTGAATGGCCTTCTCCTTTCCAATGAAAAGCTGTAAGACTTCGGCATCATGAAAGAGAAAGGAAGGAACTTGTGTTTTCACTCTGCCTTTCAATCTTAGGAATGTCCCAAAAAGCTTCACGGCTAATTAAGTAACTTATGAAGTGCAGTCACTGTTTCAATGTCAAAATTGTGACAGTTTGCAAACAGCAGAATATCACTAACAACGATGTGATAAAGACCAGTGGTTAATTATTTGTGGTGATGTAGGTTGAGGAAACAAAATTGATCAGGTCAAGAGGAAGAAAACGCCTGTATTTCTTGAAAATAGTACCATGGGATCTTGTACATCCACAAGACAGGCTGAATAGAGTCTCAATTTGACACTGGAGAATCAGCCTCAATTTAAGGACAAAACTAGTAGAAATTTGGAAGAGGTATGATTTATTTTTATTTATTCTTGTGATATGAATGGTCACTGCTAAGGTCAACATTTGTTGCTCTTCCATTCTGTTTCAATCAATGAATTCCTACAGTGTGGAATCAGGCCATTTCGCCCATCGAGTCCGCACCAACCCTCCAAAAGAGCATCGCACCCAGATCCATCTCCCAACTCTATTGCTGAAACCCTGCATTTCTCATGGCCAAATCAACCTAACCTGCACATCTTTGGACTTTGGAAGGCAACTAGAACACCCAGAGGAAACCCATGCAGACATGGGGAGAACGTGCAAATGCCACACATACATACAGTTGCACAAGGGCAGAAATCAAACCCAGGTCCCTGGCACCGTGATGCAGCACTGAGTCACCACACTGCTCTTCTGTAATGGAGAGGATGACAAGCTGAATTCTTGAACCACTGAAATCTATGCAATGCAGATACACCCACCGTACTGTTAGGGAGGATGTTCTCATGGGTTTGACCCCATGGTGGTGTGTAGCTTGATGGGAACTGGAGGGTGTTGATGTTTCCGTGCACCTGGTGCGTTATTCTCCAGAATTCCCAGCCTCTGACCCACCCTTGTACCTGTTGTAAAGATATATCTGATCCAGTTAAAATTTTGGTCAATTGGCAAACTCCAGGATGTTGGTGGTGAGGGATTCAGCGATGGCTTTCTATTGTATACCAAGGGAAGATAGACAGATACACTCTTGTTGATGATTATCATTAGCTGGCACTTGTGTGATGCAAAAAGAAAAGCAAGAAATCTAAGTATGAACCAGAGAGCTCTGTGGCACGTTTTCACGTATTACCTGTGTGGGGACAATAGCTCCCTCCCGAAGATGTAGGTTGATGGTGTCCAGAGGGGCAGAAAGTTTGACATATTCTCCTGTGCTACGAAGGGCTGAACCCTGTTGGTAAAGAGAAAGTAAATAAGAAGGTATTGAGCTAGAAGCCAATGGTAGATTTAAAAGATTTAATGATCTCTAACTCAAAGAAGATCACAGCAACTTTTTTTTCGCCAGTGTCTTGGCCAAAATTTATCCTTAAATCAACACTTAAAAACAAATTATCTTGCTGTGTACAATATGGACATCATTTTCAATATAATAACAAGAACATCTAATGACCTCAATCATATCCCAAAACCCTTTACAATCAATCAATCAATCAATCAATGATGTTCATTTCAGATTATAGTCATCAATGCAATGTAGGAATCATAGAAGTCAATCTGTGCAGAGGAAGGCACATATACAACAACTTGATAATTACAAGCTGATGTGTTTTTGTGAAGTTAGTTGAAGGATATCACTTGAGAGGGCTTTAGTGAAGGATCCCCAAATAAATTTAATTAGCTGAGCCCAGATTACAAAACTGCCCTTAGCATTACTCAGGATTCCTGCACATAATCATTAGACAGTGACCCTAATTTATGTAAATGGATAGGGTTGATCAATCAAAACCTCAGGATTGTTTCAAGATTCCTGGAATATAAAAATGCACATCAGAAACTGAACATCACAGGCTGGTAATGCTATACTGATGTTCACATACAGCACGAGACGTCTCCTAGTCCATCTATCTCATTGCAGCTTTTCAGCACATCCCCTTTTATCATCTACTAACTAGTTTCCATTTGAACACAGCTAAGGTTTTGCCTCAACCACTTCCACATTTTAACCACTGCATGAGTAAAGAAATTTATATTAATTATGAACTAACTTCACGAAGGCCAGTATCCTGTCACCAGGTCACCCTTTATTTACACTTGTCAGGCCTCCTCAGAGCCAGCTGTCAGAGTGAACAGAACATCTAACACTTATTTATATCTGTCAGCCAGGGCTCCCTGATTGAACCAGGTTAACAACCCCAAACAAGGAACTCATACTTTATGAAGTCCACCTGGCTGACCACCTTATTGTCAAAGTCAGGATGGAGAGAGATTTCTGAATTTCCTTGACTGGTTTGTTTTCTGTACTCCTGGGAAGGAGATATTGCTGGATCTTGTGCTGAAGAATGAGATGGGCTGAGTGGACATTATGTCTGCAGGGAACTCTGGGAGTCAGAGTGATTGGCAGAATATCATAAAATTTCAACTGGTAATGGAGAAAAACAAGGAAAAATCTAAAATAAAATTTCCAAATTAGGAGAGGGATAACTTCAGTGGGATGAGAGGGAATTGAGCCAAGTTAAAACTCGACCAAACATTGACAGAAAAAAATTGGAACAGAACAAGACATGATCTTTGAGGAAGAGATATTTAGGTTTGGCTAGGTGAATTTCAACAAGGGTAACAGGTAAATGAACCCAAAGCCAGAGCACCTTGGATGACAAGAATGATAGAGAATATAATTAAACAAAAAAAAAGTGTGTGTGATGTATGTTGGAGGATGCGGGAAACTCTCCTTGCAGGGAGATTTGCTAGTACCTTTGGTGAGAGTGAGTGTCATCAGGGTGATGGAACCGGAGAGGAAATTCAGATAGAATAAAAATAAAGCTGGTTAGGGGATGTACAAAGACTTCCAATGAAAGTGAAGGCAGCAGAAATAACCTCGAAACAACTAGGGTCAAAGTACAGAAGTGTTAAAATGGCAGAATTGGACGTGCTCTACCTGAATGCACGCAACATTTGCAACAAGAGAGGTGAATTGATGGCTCAAGGAGAAGTATGACTTAATTGCCATTATGAAGACATGGCTATCGGGTGTCCAAGGCTCAGAACTGAATATTTAGGAATAGTCAACATTTAGGGTGTTTAGGCAAAAAAAGCAAAAGGGGCTGAGGTAGTGCTTGTAATTGGGGTAGCGTTTGTGTATTAGTGAGAAAGGGTCTTTGCTCAAAAGAACAGGAGGGGGACCTGTTTGGGCGGAGTTGAGAAACAGCAAGGGACAACAAATACTGGAAGGAATGATTTATAGACCACCAAACAGTTGTGATAATGTAGATCATGGTATAAATGAGTGCAACAAGGGGAATATTGTAAACATGGGTGACTTCACTACATAGGTGTATATTTAGAGACTGGGTAATCTAATAGGTACCAATGGCATGGAGGAATAATTCCTGCAATGTTTTTGAGTTGGCTTTCCAGAGCAACATGTTGAGGAATCAACGAGGGCGCAGGTTATTTTCAATCTCATATTATGCAATAAGAAAGGGCTCATTAATAATCTTGTTGTCAGAGAATTGTGACCATAGTCTGAAAGAAAATTTCCATTATGTTTGAAAAAGATATAGTTCAACCTGAAACTAGGGTCTTTTATCTCAATAAGGGCAATTATGAAGGTATGAAGAGGAAATTGACTGTGGAGAATTGAAATAAAAAACACTTAACAGGAGATCAGAAATGGCCAGTGTTTAAAGAATTTATGCTTGGTTATCAAAGGACATGCTTTTCTTGTTGGGTAATAGGAACGTGACAGAACCATGGCTAACAAGGGAAATTAAAGGCAGTATTAAGATCAAGGGAGGAGGCTTATAATACTGCCAAAAATTCATTGTAATTCTTAGGATTTGGAGAATTTTAGAATTCAGCAAATGGCAAGATGGTGAGTTTGTAATAAGGAAGAGATTGTCCCCACCTCCCTAACCAGTCCTTCCTCCCACCTATCCCCTCCTCCCACCTCAAGCCCCACCCCCATCTCCTACCTACTAACCTCTTCCTGCCCTCTTGACCTGTCCTTCCTCCCTGGACTGACCTATCTCCTCCCTAACTCCCCACCTACACTCACCTTTACTAGCTCCATCCCCGCCTGTATCCTCTCCACTTATCTTCTCCTCTATCCATTCTCTATCCGCCTCCCCCGCTCTCCCTATTTATTTCAGAACTCCCTTCCCCTCCCCCATTTCTGAAGAAGGGTCTAGGCCCGAAACGTCAGCTTTCCTGCTGCTCTGATATTGCTTGGCCTGCTGTGTTCATCCAGCTCTACACCTTGTTATCTCAGATTCTCCAGCATCTGCAGTTCCTACTATCTCAAAATATTAACTGCTTCTTTCTCCACAGATGCTGCCAAACTTGCTGAATTTCTCCAGCATCTTTAATGTTTAAGGGAGCATATCTTAAACTACTGTCAATCATTATGATAGCAACAGCATGCGATGTATTAGTCCCATGACTACTAGGCAGTCAGAAGCAGTAGTGATAGATGTCAGAGATACTACACCTAGCTCCCAGTGAACAGTTTCTATACACAGTCTCATATTGTCCAGAATGGAGGGTTTGAGTTATAAAAATAGTCTGGATAGGCTGGGACTTTTTTCCACTGGAGCATAGGAGGTTGAGGGGTGACCTTACAGGAGGTTTTTAAAATCATAAGGGCCATAAATAAGGTAAATAGAAAGAGTCTTTTCCCTAGGGTGGGGCGACTTCAACACTACAGGGCATATTTTTATGGTGAGAGGAGAAAGTTTTATAAAAAGGACATGAGGGTCAATTTTTTTTTTTTTTAAAAACACAGAGGAGTGGTTTATGCATGGAATGAACTGCCAGAGGAAGTGGTGGATGTAGATACAGTTACAACATTTAAAAGACATTTGGATAAGTACATGAATAGGAAAGGTTTGGAGGAATATGGGCCAAATGCAGGTATGTGGGCCTAGTTTAGCTTGGGAACATGATCAGCATGGACTAGTTGAACCGGAGGATCTGTTTCCATGCTGTATAACACTATGACTCTATTCTTGTCTCACCAATTCTGGTGTGTGATTGATATGCTTATATCTAAGAGAAGAATGTAACAATAAGGTAGGCAAAGAAAAGCTTTACATTCGTCAATGGTACAAGGGCAAAAGAAACACAAATTTACTATTTTGGTGAAGAGGTACAGTGATTGAAGATGTGAAGAACATTTTATTAATGCAGCAACTTGTGATAATGTGGAGCAAGCTATCAATGAGGGTGATTGAAACACCAGTTTACACATGATTTCAGATAGAAAACAAATGGATAATGCAACTCTGCAGAGATAAAGCACAGACTGGGCGCATTTAGTTTGCTCTGCAAAAGAACTGGCATGGACTCAATGGATCCAACAGTTCTCTTCTGTGCCACAATGATACAATTAATTTTATTAGTGACTACCTTTATTCTTTCAAAACTAAAAACATTCTCTCCACATCTACCCTGTCCAACCCATTCTCAATTTTTAAAACTTCTATCAGGTCACTACCAGGTCTGAACTTCCAGAATACTGCTGTAAGCAACAAGCAGGCCAAACTAAAGCAGAAGAACATTACATTCCATTCTCTACAAATAATTCAATTTAATAACTAAATTATTTTTAAAAATGGGAAAGACTGCTTTTCCAAGCCAATTGAAGGCGTGGGGTTTTGTGACAAAACTTCAGGGACAGGTCCCAGAAGAGTTAGGAACCCTAATGTAGGGAAGGACAAGATCAACTCTTGTAATTAAACCACTGGCCTGTCCCCAACCTGTCATCAAAACATATTTCTTCACCAGCACACTGTGTCTCCCTATCACTCACAATGACTGGAAATCCTTACTTACTGTGTAAAAGTCGTACCAAACGCCTCTGGGGAAATATGCCATCACAGTGACTGCCCCTGCTTCTAACACCGGGCTAACGAGGAGGTAGCTGCCCAATAGAAACTGTTTGTCGATGGAGTAAGTGTTTCGATCTTCAGGAAACCTGAATTGAAAAGGAAAAAGGGTAACCTCAGTACATCATCTGGCAAAAAATTCTCCACAAACAAATTCCATCTCACCCACGGAAATACCATCTCATCCTCCAAACTAATCCAAACTCAATTCCTGCTGCTGTAGGATGCAACCAGTGAGGAACAATGATGGTCAGACAGGGGATTTTATCCACCATCACTGGGATAACAAGCAAAATGTACATTTGAACTGAGAGGTTAAGGCTCTAGTTTATGATCTGGCCCCAATAGCTGCGTTGTAGGAATAACGTGCCCACTTTGCACCAAGCACAAACCTGGATGGGGAAGTCAGGCAGGGGGTAGGTTCAAGCCAAAGCAACCTTTAGAGCACAAGAAAATAATAGATAAACATTAAAATGTGGACCGTTATTGATGTAAGCAGACTGAGAATCTGGGGAAGCCAGCGAAAAGGGGAACATCTGATTTAACATCAGCAGGTGAGACACTGTCTGGGAGCAGTTTACAGAATAGAATATCCTTTATTGACACAAGGTGGGAGTCATTGGAAAGCAATAACAGCAACTTACTCAAAGAGAATGGCTCTGGCAACTGTTTCTCCGAAAACATGAGAGTGATGGAAAAGTGTGTAGAGGTACGGGAGCAGCGAGTAGCGGATAAAGAGAGCACGTTTCATTGCTTCCTGAGCAGATTCACTGAAAGCTATAGGGTCCTGAGCCTGGAGAGCCAGAGACATCATTTCAGAAAAGAAATTCACTATATTAAATGTGAAATATTAAGTTCTTGATCTATATAAATGCTCAAGGCTTGTGTGTGTATGGCACAGGTATTCAATTCCCTTTTGAAATTATCCGAGGAGAAAATATTCACAGAGCTGTAGAAAGAGGGCGAGTGTGGGACTTGTTAGCCTGCTCAAGCAGAGTAACAATGCTGGAGGGCTGAATGCTGTCCTCCTGTGCTCAAACCAATTCAAGAATCAGTCCTCTTTAATACTAACAGGAGGCAGAGCACCACCCATTTCAAGGCCATGTGTTCCTCCTAAGTTTCAATGACAGCCCGATTTCAGAACCATCGCTTGGCTAAGCTAGACACTATCCTGAGTAGTCCCTCCTTCCATAACATTCAATAGAAAAGGACGCTCTGGATTGTGATTGCTACTAGATTGCACTCTGATCAGGGATAGTGGGGAGGCTCCAGTCTTCTGGAAGAGTAAAGAAACCTCTCTCTCTAATAGCAAAGACATCAGTTGAGTTCTTGCTCCTTTGAGCAATGCTGTCATAAATCTGAGTCTCAGGAGGCATTGTCCAGAGGTGCCACTTTTTGGATGAGACATTAAACTCAGGAGCCATCCATCTCTCAGATAGATGTCAAAGATCCCACAGCACTCTTTAGAAGAGGAGCAGAGATCTCCCCTTCGACCTGATCAATATTTATTCCTCAAACAACATCTCAAAAACAAATTATCTGATAATTTAATTAAGTGCTGTAGGTCCTTACAGGCTGGTATGTTTCTGACATTACAACAGCATACACACTCCTAAAGTATTTTACTGTCTGCAGGATATCCTGAAGGTATGAAAGGTCCTTATAAACGATGGCTGTCTCTTTCTGCAGCGTTTCAGTCGACATCTTATATATATTTAACAATAAACATAAATATTTTTTAATCTTGCAAACTTCTCAGTACCTTCTCGTTTTCTGTATTGTGGTTTCGGGAGAATGGGTAGAAGGCACCAAGTTGCATCCATCTGATACACAATTCCTCAGTGGTGCTCCCCCTAAATCCACAAATATCCGCTCCCACAAGAGGAATTCCAAACATATTGAAATTCAGAATGCCTGCAGAATACAGAGGGGTAGAACAAAAGCAAAAAAATGCAGATACCAATGATATGAAATAAAAACAGAATGTTACCAAGCCACATAAGGTGACATGAGGACTGGTTGTTCAAAAGAGGTAGTTTTTATGGAACTTCTTAGACAGAGAGAGATAAAATTCCAGGCAGCTGAGGCACGGTCGCTAATATTGGAGCAATTAAAATCGAGAATGTTCAATAGGGAGCTGAGGTAAAGGCCATAAAGGATTTCAACACAAGTGTGAGAATTATAAAATTGAGACATTGACAGTCTGGGAGCCAATGATTAGTGAGAACAGGAGTGATGATTGTATGGGATTTGAACATAAATATACATTAACATATACAAAACGTGTGGATACACAAATTCACATACAACTCTCAAAACACACGCAAAGACACACAAGCACAACATGTCCGCAAAATGCGCATTTTCCATTACTGCCTTGTTATTTGTTCATTCTCGAGATATAGAAGCTGATAAGTAGGGCAGCATTTATTGTTCACACCTAGCGATCTTTGGGAAGTTTAATGGTGAGCCACCTTCCTGAAACACTGCAGTCCATGTGATGTAGTTCCACCCACAATGCTGGTTGAGGGGGCCCATTCCTAAGTGCAGGTCAGACACGCACCCACATGCACACACACTCACCACAGAATTAGGGGGCACTAAGTACCTGCAATAGAAAAGTACATGTCCTTCCATTTACTCTCATTGTCTCCCAGCCAGTGTCCAGAATACCTGCCTTGACTTGGGAATGTTGACCGAGAAATTACGAATGGGCGCTTCTTACGGATTTTAACTAAAGCACTGGAACAAACAAAAAGTAACATTTCAGTTAATCAACGTACTAGAAGCATTACAAGTACTAGGGGTCAGCACTGCCCAAAGTCCCTATACTAACCACAGGAACTCCCCCATCCATAGGCCCTGCAAAAAATCACAGGTATGACACTGACAGCAATCGGACACTGATCACAGGCCTCTGTGACCACATTTCCCACACTAGCCACGGAACTTCCAGAGACCTCAGGCCCTGCAATGTCTGGATGTCTTGTTGCAGTGACCGCAGACCCAACAACCCGACACCAACTGCAGGCTCTAAATTGCCCACAGGAACTGCACAGAGCACTGGCCCCTCACTATCTGTAGATTTCACTGAGCCCAGGCCTGATTGACTGACCATAGGCCCTGCAGTGACCACATACTGGTGCCACACAGACCGAAGATCCCGCAACGTTATCCTCACACAGGCCAAAAACTCCAGACAGAAGGAAGACATCACACATACCACTGGCCCTGAATGACTGAAGGTCATACAATGATCATCAGCTCCTCACACACAGAAGGCAGCCTCTGATGGATCCTGTCCATGCAACCTTATTGTGCTAATGCATAGATTGCATCCCAATGGGAAAAAAACCAGTAAAAATAAAGTCATACTGATATTGTACCTTTAACCTAAGCGCATCTTCTGTCAGTTATTCAAGACTAGGACACGCAGGCTTGAAGTCATGTCATACCAACAATTGTCAGGCAAAACAAATTAATTCATAGTCAGGGATTGACACAAAAGGTATGAAAAGTGATTTCACCGAAGCTAACTTAGCTGAAAAGATTGTGGAACTGATCGTTGCCTCTACAGTCATTAAGTGCACTTTTTGACAAACCCAAAGAATAGAACATCGCTGCACTGTCAGAAGAAGGGCACATGTTCTCAGCAATTGTAGCAGGCCAGCAACATCTTCAGGCACTTGATTCTACAACAGCAACTGAAGCCATCAATAGGTTCAGTAAAACATCCAAATCTTATGTGAAATGTGACTTGTCTGATGTGCCAGAACAGTGTTGAGTATTTAATGATATGCACAAGCTTTGTTCTATCAGATGACTTTAGGCTGAAGAAATCCAATTGCCCAGCAAAATCCAAAGTGTAACACAATGTTCCAGAGCAGCACGTGAAGAAAAGAGTCAAGATGGAATAAGTTCCAAAGTTCCATCCATGGCACACAAACATGTTACTGAAGTGCAAGGAGCATCTGTAACAACACAGCTTACAGACCTCCATCAGACTGGGCATGTGGTCAATTGGACACACTATACGGATGCAGTAGAGCTGACGTCTTTACCTCAATCCAAGTGATAGACCCCAAAAGGAAATGGATAACATGCACTAAATGCTAAGAGCAACACTTGTATAAGTGCAAATGTCACATCCTTATACAAGAGATGGATTCAGGAAATATGGAGCAAACCATTCTCAGTAAGGTAACTGCTTACAGTGGGTCTAAAATTCTGTCCATCAGTATTATCCATCTTCAGTGTCAATATACATCATTGGAGTAGATACATGAAATCTATCACATCACTGAAACAGATATAACACACAGTGTGGAGCTTGAGGAACACAGCAGGCCAGGCAGCAGAGGAGCAGGAAAGTTGACATTTCACGTCGGGACCCTTCTTCATTGATACAAATGCTGTTCTATTATTGGTCATATATGATATCATTACCATCCATAAGCTAACAAATGCATCATTTGCAGCGCAAAAGATCCCAGACTGCAACACTGAGTCCATTCATGACCTGACTTACCTTTACCCAGACAGGTCAGACACTATCAGCGATTTCAAAGGCGCTGCCCGAACTAGCATCGACCCCTCTTGCAATTGTAGCATTAACATTCAAGACAAGCTCAAACTGGAACCGGCCCAAAACAGCATCATTCCCCAAAGTCAAGCATCATTCCCAAAGCCACGCATCATACTGGTGCAACTCCATTACTTGTCTTCTGAAGAAAAGTGGTACTATTTGCATATGTTGTTTTGATCCAAAGTGATTGAATATCGCACTAAAGAGATATCCACATGATTGCCTGGATGCCTACCCTGGAATTACCTCATCCCAGGTGTCAAGCATTTTTCCAAGCTTAGTGCCACGTCTAGAAATCTTTACCCAGAGTCACAGGAAATTACAACATTTAGAACACTTTTTCAAAGGTATGATTTCCCCAGACAATTGACTGGATTATCCATTATCACTGCTCACTCAGGTATAGTGTGTTGAAAATAAGCCCCACTATTCCCAGAGTTGTCACATATGTTGAGTTTGATTAAATCCATGAACTGGCCAATTTTAATCAACTGTCTAATTCTGGTAAAACTATTACGCCCACCAGGTTTTTCATTAACAAGAGAATAACATTTATTATAGCCAAACTGTTTTTAACCAAGACAAGAAAGAAGTATCAACTGCAAATTTATAAGGTTTTGGAGTAGATCTATAGCTCGGGTTGTGGGTGTTGAGGTTGATCGGCTCGCCGAGCTGGTTTGTCATTCCGCAGACGTTTCGTTACCGTGCTGGGTAATGTCATCAGTGCAGCCTCCGATGAAGCGTTGGTGTGTTTTCCCGCCTGGTTTTTAAACTCTGGAATCCGTTGAGCTGGATTGCCTCACTTCCGGTTTTCCTTCGTAGTGGAGTGTATATGGGGTCGAGTTCTATGTGTTTATTAATGGCTTTCTTCGTGGAGTGCCAGGGTTCTAGGAATTCCCGTGCCTGTCTCTGCTTTGCTTGTCCCAGGATTTTGGTGTTGTCCCAGTCGAATTGGTGGTTCTCCTTATCCATGTGGATTGAGATGAGTGAGTATTGGTCATGTCTTTTTGTAGCCAGTTGGTGCTCGTGTACCCTTGTTGTTAGTTTCCTTCCTGTTTGTCCGATATAGGTGTTTCTCACAGTCTCTGCAGGGGATCTTACAGATGACATTGGTCCTGTCCATGACGGGGAGTGGGTCTTTAGTTCGGATGAGCAGTTGTCATAGGGTTGATGTGGGTTTGTGCGCCACTCTGATGCCCAGCAGTCGTAGGAGTCTTGTGGTTAGTTCCGATGTGTTCCTGATGTAGGGTAGTGTGATGAGTGTGTCAGGGTGTGCAGTATCTTTCTGAAGTTGCTCGTGTAGGCATCTTCTGACCCAGTTATTTGGATATCCATTATCCTTGAAAACCTGGAAGAGATATTCTCCTTCCTCTTGGCGTAGTTCTGTGTTGCTGCAGTATGTTGTGGCCCATTTAAATAGCGTTCGCATGCAGCTTCGTTTGTGTGTGCTGGGATGGTTACTGTTGAAGTTCAGTATTGGTCTGTGTGTGTGGCTTTTCTGTGTACTTTCGTTTGGAGTTCCCCATTTGTCTTGCGCTCTACCATGACGCCCAGGAATGGGAGCGGTTTGTTCTTCTCCTCCTTTCTGGTGAATTTTATTCTAGGGAGGGTGTTGTTTAAGTTTGTGTGTCTCCTGTAGTTTGGTCTGTTTAATGATGACAAAAGGTGTCGTCCACGTAGCACATCCATAGTTTTGGTTGGATTGGTGGAAGGGCAGTCCTTTCTAGTCTTTGCATCACTGCCTCTGCTAGGAGTCCGGAGATCCCATGGGTATCCCGTTGATTTGTCCGTATGTTTGGCCGTTGAAAGTGAAGTGGGTGGTAAGGCATAGGTCCAGTAGTTTGAGCATGTTATCTGTGGAGATGGTTTCACTGGGGTCTTGCTCTTGTTCCAGTAGTGCTGTCATTGTTTCCCTTGCTAGTGGCATGTCTATTGATGTAAATAGGGCAGTGACATCAAACGAGATCATAGTCTCCTCGTCGTCTATCCTTCTGTCTTTGATGGAGTTGAGGAATTCTTGGGCTGAGTGGATGGAGTGGGGTGATTTGTTGACTAGGTGCCCGAGTCTCCTTTGTAGTTCCTTGGCTAATCTGTGTGATGGAGGGCCTGGTAGGGAGACTATGGGTCTAAGGGGTACTTCCGGCTTGTGCTCGTTCAGGAGGCCGTAGAATCGGGGTGTGTTGGTTCCTTCGGGTTCCATTCTTAAGAAGGCTGCTCCGTTGATCTGTCCAGTTTGTTTAAGTCTTTTTAGCGTGTAGGCCGACGAAAACACATACCGGCCAGTACAAAACTAACCCGACACCGCAACTAGGCAACAAAATCCTCTACACGCTGAAAAGACTTAAACAGACAGGACAGATCACCAATCCAGCTCAACGGACTCCAGAGTTTAAAAACCAGGCGGGAAAACACACCGACGCTTCATCGGAGGCTGCACTGAGGATGTTACCCAGCATGGTAATGAAACGTCTGCGGAACAACAAACCAGCTCGGTGAGCCAACCAACCTCAACCCTTAACTTCATAACTTAATGTCTACTCCTTTTTAAATATCCCATTCAAGTACAAAAAGACACACAAACAGACAAGGCACAAATAGTATAGGTGTTAAGTGTGCAGAGAAAAAGAACAGCAGTGAAGCACAGTTCTGCCACCAGTGTGGATCACAGGCATCGATGAGTTGTTTTCCTTCAGTTCCTTTCAACTCTTTGATGAGGACACGAGGGTATTGCTATACTGATTCTCAGTCTTTCATATCCCCTTTCCTTTCCATAGTGGACTTGCAGAGAGCGAGGTTTATAGGGAAATGGGGAGTAAAAACTCTTGAGAGCTGTTATTCTGTTATTTCTCCACACAGGAAGCACAGAAAAAGATTTTGGTGCTTTCTCTTTACAAGCCAGAAGCTGTTCCTCTATTGTCCATGTACAAGGCTGTTGCCACTTGCCCAGAAACCAACAAAAAAGCTGTTACTATGCTGAGCTTTCCTGAACCCACAAACTGGTCAATTGAAAAGACTATCTCTGGGCAAAACTTCCCTGAACACAAAAACACTCAAATAAACTTATGTTGTGTATACAACTCCTAATCTGTTCCAGTAACTTATTTTAAAACTGAAAACACTTTATGACACAGCTTCCATTATTTAAAGCAGTTCATTTTCTTGTACCTTAGTCTACAGTTCTAAAGATAGAAATGGTCTTTACACCATCAGGCAGGATATATTCCAACAATGTATGGATCATATCAGGTTGTTTCTGTACTGCAGATGACATTGCAATCCATGGAAAAACTAAGCATGAACATAATACAAAGCTCTACCAGCTCATGACAGTGACAAGAAACCAATTCTTGCTTTTAGTTTTAAGAAATGTCAAATATATGTGATCAAATCAATTTTATCAACTTACATTAGACCTCATCCTACTGAAACAGCAGACATACAAAAGATAATTACACAAGACAAAGATGATTTACAAAGGTGACTCAGGTTCTTTAACTTTTTATCCTTTTCATAATTTTACAAACAATGTATGAGATCTTCTCTGCAAAAAACACTGTAGACATGGCAGGAAGATCACCAACATATTCTCCAAACTCTCAAAAATGCAGCCAGTTTCACCCAAAAAGTGTTCTTCAAAATTATGATCTCTGAAAGCTTATGGAACCAGATGAAACCAGAAAGGCCTCAGAACAAGCCTATTGGGTTTGTTTCTAAGGTCCTATGACAGCTTAGTTACACTATTCCTACACTGAAAGAGAAACTCTTACTTTAGTTTTCCACATACAACATTTTCATACACAACTATTCCACAAACTGTTGGAACTGATCTGTCAAAAACTTTTCATAGTGCACCTCCACAACAACAAGTTGTGACAATCCAAGGGTACAATTTAGAAAGTCAGTACTAACCAGGTTCCCAAATGACTACTTCCAATGCTCTTAGCCAAGATCCAAACCTGCTAAGAACAAAGGTATTTTAGAGCCAGAAGTAGATATTAATAAATTGGAGTTAGTAGATAGTCTTTACATTGATTTCATTTGTTTGGTCACAGTGAGCAGAGCAGATTCATTCTGGTGACTGACTATTTTATTAAATTCCCTTTTGTTTCTCTTTCAGTGTAGGAATAGTGTAACTGAGCTGTCATAGGACCTTAGAAACAAACCCAATAGGCTTGTTCTGAGGCCTTTCTGGTATGTACAACTCAAAATGATGATCATTAGCGAGAGGCCTCAATGCATCCAGTAGGTCTCTGAGCTGATTCATTCATTCCAAACAGTCAAAGGCAGACT